TTTGCATGCAAGAAAAGTCACAACTGAAGAGCGAAAACAATTAGAAACAACATGAGTAACACTTAGTTATAAAGCTACCGTTGTTCTCAGGCGATATGTCTCTGGTCCGAAGGTGATGGTTGTCTCCATAGTCATTTTAAATGAAGCGAAGCATAAGACATTTTAAATCTGTGGTTTTCTTTAGTTATCGGACAAAACCTGAGTCATCAGCTGGCGACCAGCTCTGAAAATTTAGTCGCCAGTGCTCAATTTTTGGTCGCATTGGTGACCAGTGAGTCGCAATTTCGAGCCCTGGATCAGATGAATTTTTGGCCTAAATATCCCACATCCTGTAAAATTTCAGTTGCAAAAATTAACAATTTTCCCATTTGATATTCTGTTTTATTTTTTTCTCAAGCATCTGAGTGGGCCAGAATCCTAAATCCTGGAATTTGATTGGCTAATCATGCGCTCCTGACCATTTCCAGCTTTTTACGATATGGCCCACGGACCGGATACTTTCCCCACTGTAGTGATTATGTCTCACAAATTTTGCTCCAAAAGTTTGTGGTAATTGTCAACCTTTTGCCTTTTTTACACTTCCATTGACGATTAGTGAACGCAAGTTTATCTCTGTTCACTTTAAAATGGCAAGGAAAGTAAATTCAAGTAAATAAGTAAGTCAATTCATGTAAATAAGTAAGTAAATTCAATTGAGTGTTTTGAGGTTGCGAGAGTTTGCTTGGCTGTTTGTAGCTTGGCGCTGTAATGGCCCGTAATCCTGTGTTTCTCCCACTGTAAAATTTGAGTCAATTTCAGTCCAGTTTACCTCTCTGATCGTTTCTGTATTGAGAGAATTTCTGTGGAATACACTTAACAAATTTCCTCGCTTTCTGCTATTCAATTTACAGTAGAAAAGTCTGATTTCACATGATTTTAATAGCAATGACTGACAGAAATTGTTTTTGTAGTAAAACTTCAAACTTCACACGAAATTTCACACTGCAAAAACAAATTTTGGAGAACCTAACTGGTAAAATAAATGCAACTAACATAAAGTAGTTCCAAAAATTACTTTGTCTACTAGCTGAGTTACTTGCTCATTGCGAAGATTTTTTACAAATCGTTAGTAGACAGCTCACAAGCAGATTCAATGACAAAGTTGCGTAAACAAGCCTATATGTAACCTGTAAAACCAATTTTCTACAGGAAAGAAAAAAACATGTTATTTGCCGGCTTAGGTTGGTCCGTAGAGTGAAAAAGTGTGACCTTGGGCTTGAAAATGCTGCCCTCACCCTGCGACCTCGGGCAGCATTTTCAAGACCTCAGTCACAGTTTTTTACTATATGGACCTTCCCAGCCGGCAAATAACATATATTTCTCTGATCTTAATGTCCCATATCCCAATCATTTTCCCTCCAAATATCCCGCATCCCGTTAATTGTTTCTACCTAAAATATCCCGTGTCCCGTAAGCCCCGAAATAGGACCTCATCTAACCCTAGCCTTTCAGGCAACGTAAAAAAACGGCAGATGAATAACCTAGATGTCTCACGCACTAGCCTGAGCACTGTCGTTGAGAGACATTTGCTTTAAAAAATAGTGGTAAAGAACTGCATCAGCAAAGACTGCATGAATGCTGACTAGTCTTCACTCACAATGACATCTCGTTTAAGCCTTGCAGTGGAACTGATAGCGCTCCCGTGTCCATATGATCTTACATGTTTAGAAATATAGAAACCTGTGACGGCTACATTTAAATCTTAAGTGGCCCAATGTGGAGAAAATCGAAATATTTCGAGTATACACTGTTGCAAAATTTCCTCGGCCGGAAGTGAACAGAAACTGACGAAGAGACGTGACATTCAAAATTTACTTACCAAAACTCAAGAAACATATCAGCCCCAGTACAAAATAGCGATGGAAATTTCTTCTCGGATCACAGCAAGCTGTCGCTCCACAGCCAGTCAATTCCTCCTCGGAGTCTTCGAATTTCTTATTTATAAGTGGAGTCTTTTCTCCACTATCCTCCGCCATCTTGAACCTCACGAACGATCGCGTCCCATGACCAACACGTGACCTTTACGTCCAGAGGACACCCAAATGATGCCATCAGAAAATAATTAATTGGGTAACCAGGGGCCGTTCAGTTTCGCGAAGGTTTCGCGCCCGAAAAGCCATATAGAGCAAAATCTCGAACCTTATGATTACAGAGCTGTTTTACTCGCATATTCTTAATATCAACAGAAGTTCCCTTCATACAAGACGTTTCAGGTGTATACACCTCTCCGGTTTTAGATACAGATGAACTGAAAATGGCTTTACGGGCCTGAAAAGTTTCGAGAAACGGGCCCCTGAATATTTGCTAGTTGCAACGCTTTGAATTGCGCTTTCGAGTGGGGTATTGTATATTCCATAGACCTCTGCCTTTGCAAAAATGGCTCCGATTTTTGAATAACAATACCTGTACATCCTAAGCTTGACATTCATGTGAATAATCCTTTGTCTGGAAACATGAGTATGAGGCTAAGGATGTACAAAGTATTGTTAGTCAAATCTAGGCGCCATTTATGCAAAGGGTTTATTAAAAACTGAATCATTGGATAATGCAGTTCAGGCGTTTTCATTGACTTAGCCATCATGAGCGATGAACAATAATACCATGCTCTTTTGGGACGTATTTATTTTCATTTTAGTCTAGTTTTCTATATTTGGAAGGCGTTTTTAATAAAACAATTATTCCACTCGCGATTGCTCGATCATTGAGATCATTATAGCCAACTCGGCAATCTACCTTCTCATATCCAACGCGCGCTAGTGAATAATTGTGAAATACCCCCACGAGTCACTTCACTCACTTGTATTTTTTCGGTATACAAACGGGCCTTTAGGCGAGTGTCCATATCGGCCGAGAAAATACAAGTGGGATATTCCGCGGCATGGCATACACTGACTCGAAAGAGTGTTGAATAACTTTTTTATACCATGCCATATAAAATACAGTGGTTAGCACAATAGCGGGCAATAGCTCGTGCAAGAATTATTTTAAAGTCAATCACAGGACCTGGGTAGTGGAAAGCAATTGCTCGATTTGTTTTCCGCATGGCTCCCCTTGCAAGAGGGCAGGACGATGAATCTTGCAATTTAATTGGTTCTTAACTTGGTCCCGGGTTTTCCTATCTCTGTCCACCGTCACGGTAACGACTTTAAAAGTGATTTGAGTAGAGAGAGGAAAAAAAAAATCATTTACCGGCTAAGAGTCGGTACGCATAGTGAAAAACTGTCACATCTGAATTTTACATGCCGCCTCTGGCAGTATTTTCAAGACCTCAATCACAGTCAATTTCACTATGCGGGCCTAACATATGTTTATTTGTCGCTCGGTATTTTCAAAAGAAACGACAAACCACCTCAGTTCTCCGTGTCTTTATTGCGCCATAGAGAAATCAAAATTGTGAAAATCTTTAAACAAATGTTTGCCACCGAATAACTCACCCGAGGCTCGTGCACAGCAACCTCAACGGCATGGGAGGCAAAGGAGACAGAGCCTGGGACCGAGGTTGTTCCCGCAGTATTTCCTCCATGCCCTCTCTCGTTTTGTGGTAACGCGATAGAAATTTGAAAAACGTTTTAAATTTGTTAAATAAAGGACCATTTTTTATGATATCAGGGAGAAGGCATTCACGGGGGCTATGCCAAAAACATGAGGCTTCAAAGGGGGTATGGCCGAAAATATAGGGTGTAGAAGGGGGGTCGGCGGAAAGGGGGGCACATAAAATAATTACTGTATAGACGAGATCTATTGTATTGTGAAAAACAAATTCTACCAGAAAGCCCAAAATAACGTTTCAAGTCTGTACGGAAGTAGACATATTTTATCATACCAAAGAAAAGTAAACATGCTTGTTTTTGTATAACCGAATTTACCGTATCACAAGTGTATGGAAACTGGAATATTGAGTAAAACAAGAGTTTACGAAGAGAATAAAACAGCTTAACAACTAACGGTCACGCAAACGATTCAAAGTTTTATTCCTTTTCAAAAATTTACATCCATGAATTTTAGATTAATGAGTTGTTTCCGTGTACGTAACGTTGCCATTGCAATGCTTTAATATTTACCTGACTTGAAATATATTAGTGTTTACCAACAAAAATAATAATCAAACAGAGATATTGATCATCATCGTGTAATGTACGTTCTCACTGGAATCGCCATGACGCATGCCTAGACGTCTGAAGAGAAAAAACGGAAAAAAGATTCCAAATGTTTGTAGTTAAGTAGTTCTGGCCCTCCACTTTCAGTGGAAGTCAAATATAAACAACAGCAAAAACAGCAAAGGTCTTGAAGGACTAGATGAGGACAGATTTATCTTACAAGGAAATTACATCGCCCTCTGGATAAGTGTTAGCCGTCTACGCAGACGCTCTTTGGGCTCGTCATGCAATCTTCCTGGAAGATGGTGTGACGAACCCAAAGAATGTCTGCGTAGAAGGCTAGATAAGTGCAAACTGAGATCGAACAAATTTTCGTGCTCACTACCCAGTCTGGCTCAGGTACATTTTTTTTGTAGGGGGAGGGGAGGGGGTGCATATGCTGGCAAATAATGACACGAAACAAGTCTTGTCATAAACCCTGAACAAAAGCTCATCACAAAATAAAGCTAATAACAAAAGCAAAAAAAAAAAAAGCTATAAGGATAAAATAACACAATTAAAGAACCCTAACCCAAGTGCTACCAAATATACAAGTACTTCACTTAAAGCGAGTTCTAAAGAGCAAACAAGAACAAGTATTTTGAGGTAGAGGTATAGGATTACAAGGATTGAGCTGGATTACAGTTCACCAAGTGCGATTCTATGACTGGATGTCGAGGATTTAACAAATTGACGTCAGTTTTTATGCATTTGTCTTGTTATTATCATTTCGTCACAACATTAAGTAGTTGTGGATCCGCAGACTACTTTGACAATGTTATGGTGAAGTTTATTATCATTGACAGGACAGACGCATGAAAACCTGACGTAATTTGAAATTACCCTAAGTTCCTGGCCAACAGCAGAACTCAGCCGTCAACACATAATTCACTCTTACCTTACACATGTATCTTGTAGACGTAGTTGGACCATTGAGTGCCAACTCCATTGTAGCAGTTTGTAGCTTGGCCGTAATCTCTAAATTTCTCATCATCCGAAGCCCAGCACTCCGTAAAGAACTGCACCGCAAAGAAGGTCTTCCCGGCATCCTTAGCTTCCTTGTAACACGCGTTTACTGCAAGAGAAAATTCCCAGTCAAAGCAGAGAATTAGAGGTGCTTGCAGTGTAATTCTGACGGTATCTCAGTCATAATTTACAGTTCTACAGGATACAAACCCATTTTGCTCATGCATGTGTTCCTATCGATGAAACCGCGACTGCGAAAGCTCTTTAGAAGAGTCATGGTTCGCCCTCTGCCGGGTTTGTCTTTCCAGCATCCCAGATTATAATAGTTTCCAAATCCATATACGGCATTGTGTGACAACTCGCCAACGCCTGTCACACAAAAAAAAAAGAAGAAAGAGAGAAAGAAAGAAAAAAGAAAAAACGCACAATTTGCACGGTTGCCCACGTTTTGGGTTTTTTCCCTCAAACCAACAAGCCAGCCAACAAACCAGTCCGTCAGTCTGTCAATCCGTTAGTCCGTCAGTCCGTCAGTCCGTCAGTCCGTCCGTCCGTCAGTCCGTCAGTCCGTCAGTCCGTCAGTCCGTCAGTCCGTCAGTCCGTCAGTCCGTCAGTCCGTCAGTCCGTCAGTCCGTCAGTCCATCAGCCGTCAGTCCGTCACACAGTCAATAGTCAGTGAGTCATCAGTCAGTCTATCAGTCAGCCCATTAAGTCCGTTAGTCAGTCAGTCAGTGGGTTAGTCAGTCAGCGAGTTAATCAGGAATTGATAGGCAGACGTACCAAACACACACGCATCTGGAGCGGCCCTCATTTTCTTGTAGTCAGGATTGCCTTCCGCTGAAAAACACTCGCCATAAAATTGCACGGCGAATAAGTTGTAGTCCTTGCCACTGTTAATAGCATCATAGGCACACTTCAAAACGGTTTCACCGAGATTGTGCCAGTCGAGATCTTTACCCCGGCGGTTGGAATAAAAATCTGGCAAGATCCTCTGTTTTATTGGATTATCAATCCAGCAGCCCAGATATTCAAGCTCAGGGACATCTAAGAGAGAAAGCCAATTTAATCTTAAGAGTAGCTGGTAGGTATGAAAATAAGTCGCATTAAAAGGCTAGTCATCGAGAAAATATATACCGTGTAAAATGGGGGAAGGCGGGGGAGAAGTGGGAACGATCACGTTGTGGGTACAGGCATGGTACAAAAAGTAGGGTTTAATTGAAGTAATGTTAGATGACCACTAGCCCTGAGGACAGACCACGGAATATTAAATAAATGTTTTCTAAAGGTAAAAATGGAGGCTATATTTTTCAGCGTCACAGAAAAAGGTGAAATACTGCCTCCCTAGGGGAAAGGGGAATACATGTTCCCTTTAACCCGTTAAAATTTGTTCGTCCTGAAGGTACCCGTTAATACCCTTCCCCCTTCAAATTAATCCAAAATATGCAATTCTTCCCTTTTAAATAAATGATCAAGTTGCCTTGTTCTCTAAAGCTTCTCGTTCTTCAAAAATCAATCTTCAATATGTAGTATATTTGAGCAGTGAAAGCACTCAGTTCAACTTAGCCAGTGCTCAGCGTTCACGGGAATCGTTCATAGTTAGCCTCCTGAAGATGGTTAGACGTTCAAGTCTTCACGGATAAGGCCCCATCCCCCGCTGCATCTTCATGGCCTCATAGTTATCAGGGGATGTCATAGAACTTCCGTCACAAACTTATCGCAAAGATTAGGACTTGGAGTTCCCTGTACTGTGTTCTGGCCTTATCTCACGGGTTGGTGCTTCACATAGGGTTAACCTCATTGCACCTTTCCCCCTTGGAAAAAATCGTTCAAGAGAAATTGCTGTGTGTATGTCTATGTCTAAGACCAGGATTCGGAGTATGCCGTAAAGGGAGTAGCCCAGTGGCTTTCGTTCAATAGAACTGAATGTGCTATTTGACAAAAATAAAAAAATGGGAATCGACCGCTGTTTGAGCAGCTACACATTCTGTACTCTTTGAAACTTGTGTAACTATTTTAAGAAACACACCTGCCCTGATACATCTGACCCCGGCGTCGTTTTCGTGGGTGCAGCTACCTATTACACCCCATCCGTCATGCTTACATTGAAAGATGGAGTGCTCTGAGCCATCGCAGATCACATTGGACATATGAATCTAAAATAAAACATATTTGTGGCTAATTTTTACAGTATTACATCTGTGGTTGGAATTACGATTATATATGGGTAATTCAAAGTCCACGGAAAAGTATCCGTGCATATTTTTGTACGGAACGGAGGTTATTGCTTTTGACACTATCCACACTAACAGAACAGTTTCCAACTGAGTGACGATAGATCAAAGCCAAAGAAACAACTTAGACCAATCACAAAGGACACAGACAATACAGTGAACCAAACAAAACTCGATCAAAATTAAAAGTAGCTGACGCAAAGCGCGGGAAAACGTGTGCGAACGAGTCACGATTGGTTTTGGTTTTACTTCTGACTGGGTGAGAAGTGGCAGGAGTTTTTTTTCAGTCAATCGTGTAGTGATGGAAACCACCGGCTAATACCAAGCGCTATGACAAAAATACACAGTTATCGTTTCATACCGGACCAGTCCCCTTTCCAAAGTAGGCATTTTTGACAGCGAAAATCGCACCGCTGTAGCCAAGCTCCTGGCACACCACTTCAGCGGCCTCATCGCCCCAATTTTCATCACAAATTGTTCCCCACTGACCGTCGTGGTACACTTCCACTCGCCCGCCTCCAATATCGTCCTCTGCAGTTATCAGACGGATTCGATTTTCTGAATAATAATCAGGTGTTTAAGATATTTAAGAGGAAGTGTTAAAATTATTGAACTCAAAAAACCTAGCAAATTATTTAGGTGTATATTTTAAAGTATTTCCGGTGTACAAATGTTTAGAAACTCTAATTTTTACTGGTTTGCCTGCTAAACTGTTGACTACTCTGATGCTACTGGTGTGAGAATGGACTTGCATCTCTCATGGCTCAGCCAATTAAAATTTTTATCTAGACAAGGCTGAATTAAAGAATAGCTTTTTAACTGACCTTTTTCGACGGTTCCGTGGCTGTTTCCTATAGACAAAGAAAAAAGATATTAAAAATGTGTGTACGCAGTCTTTAAGCACCGGTCATTTTGAATTTTTGTTTGAAGAAAACTAGGTTAGGGAAATCACTTGATTATCGTGGCGCTATCGTTTTCGAAAAGTTCCGTTTTCAAACTGCTCTTCGTCCACATTAAAACGCAAAGTTGGCGTTATGAAATTCCTCCGGTTTGACGAGCGTTTCCGAATTGGCGAAAAGCTCCGTTTTCGCGACGGATTAGTGTGGACGATAGGCCTAACTGTAGAAATAAAAGCCGCGTTTTCAAATTTATCCGGCGTAGTGCGGATGGGGCCCTTGCAACAAAATTATTTTCTAACTAGCCGAATACAGCCTGTTCCAACCAACCTTTGAGCTTCTCCTGTTTTTATTTTCGCCAGCATTTTTATCTGATAATATCTGATATTATAATCCATCAAATATTTTCGCTCGCGCGGGATTGGTCTAGACATGTCGTGTGACTAAATACGCCCAAGCTAAAGCTGGGGAATATCTGAGTGATATTCCCCATTTTTCTGAAACTACGCGTGTTGCGAAAAATATTTGAAGGACAATAAACACGATAGCCTCCATTTGGCACGGAAATATGCTCCAATAGTTGTCCCTGGACATTATCTGTTCCTCAAAGCTCACAGTTTTCCTCAAGCTGCACTCTCGAAACACTGTTCGCTTCTCGGAACAAATAGTGTCCGCGGACAAATTCCCGTGGATATTTTCGTGCCAAATGGAGGCTATTGATTATATGTACGCCTGAGTGTTGAGCAGTTGAGTTAAACCCGGCGGTACTCTTTTAAAGTTTAATTTTGCTAGAGTTATGCGGCCTTATTCTCCAAACCTTTATCCTATACTCCAAACTCAATTGTGGACCTGAACCAGAAAGCTACTTTCTGCTGTCAGTACGTTTCGAATCTAGAACGTTTATATTTGGTATTGATTTATTTCCATCTTGTTCTCTCATGGGAATTAACATGTTGAAAAAACAGTGGCAATTTTTGGTCAATAATCTCGGAGTCATGTTGGAATTTTGATCCATTGGACGTGAGCTATTGAAGTAATATATTAATCACGAAAGACCGTGCTTGACCACATTTCCAAACGCCGAGAGGGAAAGAAAAAAACATGACGCATAGCAGAGTGCTTTTGATGAACTTCGAGGTGTTTGGAAATGTGGTCAAACACTCTCTTGAGTCTGTGGTGTATCTTTTCAATCGAGGAAACGTAGAAATAAACTCGCAAAAATCTGTGATGATTAAGATGAGATATCCAAACACCGTCACGGTCGTGATTTCCTTTGCTTACACTTGATGAATTAAATTAACAAGTTGGTGAAAGGTGTTTTAAAGTTCTCGATGTTAATCACGCCAGGCAGGCCTCACTAATTTCTCAGTCTTCGAAAGATTTGAATAAGTACTTTTTTTTTTATTAAACCATGCCCTGTTACATTCCAGTACAAAACGCGCAAAGCATATCTGCTTCTTAATTTTAGGCCGAAATTGCTCAAACCCTTTGCCTCATCCTCAGGCACGTGCACTGTTTTGTCAGTGGACGGTGTGAAACTGGCAGCGCGCGCCTTGATGCCTCAGGTACCATGCATACGCTTTGGTGCTGTAGATACATACACTGAATATACACTCTTTGCAGAAAGGTGATATATAGGAGCAACCATAGTTATTTCAGGGTGCTGGTACCCTTTAAATATTATAATTGATGTCTTCTCGTTACTCGGCCTTGCAGTGGAACTAACAGCGCTCACATATAATCTTACATGCATTCAAATATAGAAACATTTGAAGGCTGCATTTAAATTTAAAATGCCTCAAAGTGGAGAGAGTCGAAATACTCCTAGTGTACGCTGTTGCAAAACTGCCTGATATCGGCCGGAAGTGAACTTAGACTGATGAAGAGACGTGACATTCAAAATTTACTTACCAAAACTCAAGAAAAATATCAGCCCCAGTACAAAATAGCGCGGATGGAAATTTCTTCTCGGGTCACAGCAAGCTGTCGCTCTACAGCCAGGCAATTCCTCCTCGGAGTCTTTGAATTTGCTATTAATAAGAGGAGGTTTTTCTCCACTATCCTTCGCCATCTTGAGTCTCCCGAATAAACGACCGATTGCATCCCAGTACTAACACGTGACCTTAAAATTTCATTTTGTACCTCCACAGGGTACCCAAGTGATACAATGTAATAAATGGGTAACCTGGAAACAACACGAGACATTTGACGTATAAGGTCCTTCTTAGGAACAGCTTTCCAAATTTTAGGAACAATTCTTTTAAAAATAAAAAACTAATTCAATCGACGTTTTGTTGGAGACCTTCATTTATAGGAAAACTATCTCGATTCCTTTATCTAATCACGTGCATAATTCACGTGATAATAAATACTCATTTGTAAGGCCTGAGGCAAACGTCGAATCTTAGTCGAACTTAATTCGTCGAACCTATTAATTTTGAAATAGGTGCATGAATGGTGCGACGTCTGCCGCAATCAAGTTTGACTCAAATTAATTGGTTCAACTCTAGCATAAGTTCGACTTGCTAAGTCGGATAATGCGACAGTGATTCGGCGTTTAAGCAAACGCCGTTCTAAACACGCGCTGAACTCAATTCATAAATCATGCAAATTACAAATGTGATGGGCTGGGCAAACGTGACAAAAATACATACTCCTCCATCTACCAAACGCTATTTTCCCCCCTGACGAGCATGCGCTGTACAAAGACAATTTCGCGATCGGGAATGGCGAGCCATCGAAAGTCATTGCTGACATCAAGACCGCTGCTCCATTGTTGTTCGCTAACAAAAGCACGGTCAAGCATGCCACTTGAAGCAATAGCTGTCGTCTCTGATACACCGTTCTCAGAGCTGTAAGTTATGCGAGTCTTCTCTTTCTAATTTCGTAATTAATTCCCAAAGTAAGGCCCGACGAGAACTGTATTTCGGCATTTCACTAACAAGTCCTAACAACTAGCCGCGCATCAAATGAATAGCACGGGGCCACGTGCTTATTCCCGTGTTTTAATGAAGTGCAACTTGAAATAGGATCGACGCAGGTTCGGCGTTTGTTACCACGCTGGAGTTTTGTCGATTCTTTGTCGCACCTATTTTTAAATTGTTGTACGCGACTGGGATTCGACGTTTTCCCTAGGCCCAAGATAGCCTACGAATTTACGAATTAATTGATCCACACTTCTCAAAAATCAGCAAATGTGCGGCAATCCCCCGTAGGAAAAAAGATGGCAACTGGTACATTTACCCATAGTTCTTAGCGAACGAAAACCTTTACAACGTTCATAAAAACGTACAGAAACGTTACAAAATCTACAAACCTAGGCTACTTAATGTCCTTAGTACAGGGACAAATCTTTGTGCCTTGTTGGCTGTGTTAGGTTCGCAAGACATTGTGGTAAAATGTACAGCCGCCATCTTTTTTCCTACGGTGGATTCACGTCCGCCTGACATTTTTTCTGAACTTAAACGCAACAAAAATTCCAAACAGAAATACGAATAATTAGCCGTTTTGTTTTGCTCATTAAACCTTTGCTTGGTAACGGTCTCGTTGCCGTTGCCATTGCCGTCGTGTTTTGCTTAAGGTACCTAAACTCCCTAATAACGCAGGCCCGTGCTCACGTGGCGAAAGTGATAATTAACGCGTTTGCGAGTTTTGCGCTAGAAATGTGTATATGTCTAATTGGATAAATTGGAATTAAAATTAAACGTGCAGTGATAAAGCTAAAATTCAGTTAATATAGTATCAAAAAAGGCGGTTTTTTCTTCGACTCCCAGTGAACATTTTTGATTTCCCTACTAACAGCTTATTTCTTCTATGTGAAAACATTTGTTCAGTCAGACATATAGCGTTTTCATTTGTGGCTAGCAGCGATGCAGAGTTACTGGAAAGAAAGAAAGTGTTTACATAAGGAAAGAATTCAAAAGACCAAGTTCGGTATATTAAAATTCAGCCTCAAGCAAAAGACCTCAGCATGAGGTTCCTGGGAATAACTACAGAGTTTGTGGTGTTTATTCCCCCGAGCTTCGTGCTGAGGTCTATTGTGTTAGGCTGAATTTTTATACATCGAAAGTGGTCTATTCCCACAGACACCACAGGATTGGTTTGGGGACACCAACATGGCCGCCGTGTCATTGTTTTGGGACACCAATATGGCTACAGTGACGTCATGTGAAAACAACAAAAGCTGTTGTTTTTACGATTCCCGTTGAAAATTTTGCTCTCATCACTCATGGGTTAATTATGCTTCCAGATGACAAAATTTGACAGAAGTTTGGAATGAAAGTTTGTAAGGAGCAGCCAACAATCACTTTTCAGAAGCTTTAAGTTTTGCAGGGAGCGTTGTCTTTATTCAACACTCCCAAGAGAAAAGTATTCAGGAATTGCAAGAGCTGTTGACTAAGTGCGCGTAAACAAAATTTATGTATAATTTCGATAAATTAAATAAACTATGTTTAGCGAGTGATTGTCTTTTTTTGTGTGTCTCGGTATTTTCAAAAAGAATGACAAAACTTCTCAGTTCTCCGAGTCTCTGTTGAGCCATAGAGAAACCTAACTTGTGAGAATCTCCAAAGAGCGTTAGAACCATTCGCCTTTGGCTCGTGACTCCGACAGCGTTCTCCCAAACTTTCAACTTTGTTTTGATAACTCGACAACTCGACGGAAAACGTTTCAGTTACTTAAATTAAATCAGGGACCACTACGACCGCTATTTATGACTTAGGGTGGGGGCTTGGAGGTTGGTGGGATCCAGAAAACCTGGATTTAAAAGCCGTGAGAGGGGAGGGGGACGGCATCCTAACGATATAGTGTGTAAAGGGCAGGGGGGTTACTCTCTTCACTGACGGGATCTTTGATACAGTGCAGAAAAAAAGAAAATTCTACCATGCATGCCTAAAATGGCGTTTCTGAGGTTCTGAACAAGCTTGGGTGGAACGAGGCGTGATGTTTTCTCGTGTAAAACATGTAATGGATTTTATTTTTATTTAGTATAAATCTACTAGTGCTCTATCACGAATGCCGTTCTCCGAGTCTGATTGGCTACGCTACTCACTATTTATTCTGTGATAGATAGTGAGTAGCGTAGGAGTATGCGCTTCTTAACAAAATGAAGGCCGCTTCTTGGCGTTTTCGAAGTGGATTACTATTAAGATAAAGTTTTGAACGACTAGTAGATTTATAATAAAACAATTGGATTATTCGCTCTCGATTTCTATGCGTGACAGTCGACTCGGGCTGCGCTTTCGTCAAATATATCGCGATAGAAATCTCGAGCTCATAACCTAATTGCTTCATATAACCGAATCACGTTACAGTTGATGTGAAAGCTGGATATTAGATATAACAAGTTTTTATGAAAAGAATAGAACAGCAAACATTGACAAATGACAGTCATGCGAATGATTCAAACTTTTATTCCTTTTTCATTAATTTACAGCCATGAATTTTAGGTTGATAAGTTGCACATGTTTCCGTGAAACTTTATCATTGCAATACTTTAATTTTCACCTGACTTATAATTTATTAGTGTTTGCCAACAAAAGCAATAATCAAACAAAGATATTGATCATCATCGTGAACTGTTTTCAATGGAATCGCCATGACGCATGCCTGAACGCCTGAAAAAAAAAAAAAAAAAAAAAAAAAAAAAAAAAAAAAAAATTTAAAATTTNTCTCATTTGAAATCTTTCCACTTTTACCCCATTCATTTAAGTGAATAGATATTTCGAATTTAATAACATGAAAAAAAAAAAAAAAAAAAAAAAAAGATTTAAAATGTTTGTTAGTGTAAAACGTTCCGTAGCTTGGTAATTTTCACTCTCCACTTCTGGCGGAAGTCAAGCAAAAAGCAACAGCAAATGAACCTAAGAAAGGTGTTGAAGGACTTAGTAAGGGAAGATTTATCTTGCAAGGAAATTACACAACCCTTTGGAGAGGCGAAAACTGGACTCCAAGAAATCGCCTGGCTCTGGTGGGGCTGGCAAGTCGTGACAAGAAAAAAGTCTCGAAATAAATGCTGAACGTAACAAGAACTAATCACAAACTAAAGCTGATAATAAAAGCATGCAAAAATAAGAAGCTAGTGATGACAGAATGCATTTTTTTTAAATTTTGCAATAACACAAGGGAAACAATACTTACAATAAAATTACGAACAGTACACTCTTTAGACTACTTACAGCACTATACTCTACTTACATTATATTGCTCTAATTATTGGCACTATTTAAAGTACAATATCTACACGACTTACAGTACACTACTAACGAATACAGTAATGACAAGGGGCAAAGAAAAACGGAGAAAAATAGATAATTATCATTACAGCTTGCATTGAGGTTGTACTATAGAAACAAAAACAGACCAAAGGCATGTGGTATTTTATAGGTAAAATGAGCTATGCACCTGACAGGAGATTAGAAATAGACAAATGGCTAAGAGATAATACAGATAGGTAAAGAAATATAATCTAAAATATTGGTTAAATCCTCTTATATCCTGCAAGAGGTTTCCATTTCTTTCTGTCTCCACTTTTTAGTTCTATTTCATATTGTGATTTTAGTGCGCATATGAAACGCATAAGATTCCAGTGATCTTCTTTTGTTTTAGCGAGCCATATGTGATATCGTCCTGAGAGAAAGCAGTCATTGATAAGAAGGGCAAATTGAGAGATATCTGGCCTCAAACCCAAAGCAGTAATACTTGTCAAAATATAATCTCTAGGAAGTAAATTTAAGTTTTCCAGCCATTCAGTAACTTTATTCCAAACGTGAGATGTTTGGTGGCATGACCAAAAGGGATGAATTAATGACTCAGGATGGGTGTAACAAAAACTGCAATTTTCATTACCCTGTAGACCTATTCTAAATACGAAGTTATTGGTTGTTACGTGTCTATGTAAGAAGTTAAACCGAAACTCTATCAGCTTAGTGCTCTTGGTGCATTTTTTAGCCAAAAGATAGACAGCAGTCCAATTTATGTTGTCATTTATTAGTGGGCTACAATCTTCTAGCCATTTCTTTTCACTTGACTCTGGGGTTAAAATCTTGTTACTAAGCAGTTTTTTTTATATATTAATGTAGTTGCTTTTCTGACTTGTCAAATTCTTGTTGTAAGTGGCTCATATTCACAGTTGGTGTTCTGTAAATCTGACAGGATGCAATTAGAGAAGTAAACAGCAATTAATTATAAATTGAAAGTATTTTTACGTTTAATTCTTGTTACCGGGATACGACTCATATAGAAGTATAGAGAATATAAATAACTACCTTTGTGAGATATTTCCTTTAAACATCTTTTAGAAGACATTATTTCTTTGCAAATTTATAGCATGTTCATGGCCAACAGCGCAAATCAGCCGACAACACATAATTAACTCTTACCTTACACACGTATCTTGTATACGTAGTTAGACCATTGAGTACCAACTCCATTGTAGCAGTTTGTAGCTTGGCCGTAATCTCTAAATTTCTCATCATCCGAAGCCCAGCACTCCCCATAGAACTGCACCGCAAAGAAGGTCTTCCCGGCATCCTTAGCTTCCTTGTAACACGCTTTTACTGTAAGAGAAAATCGCCAGTCAAAGCAGAGAAGTAGAAGTGTTTGCAGTGTAATTTTAACGGTATTTAAGTCATAATTCACAGTTCTACAAGATACAAACCCATTTTGCTCATGTCAAACCAGTCAATGAAACCGGTACCGCGAAAGTTCTTTAGAAGAGTCATGGTTCGCCTTTTTCTGCCGGGTTTGTCATTCCAGCATCCCAGATTAGAATAGTTTCCAAATCCATACACGGCATTGTGTGACTTCTCGCCAACGCCTATCATGAAAAAAACGGTATCAGTGGTAAGACAATTCACACGGTTGGAATATGCTTTGGGTTTTTTTCCTTCTGTCCAACAAGCCAGTCTGTCGATCCGCCAGTCCGTCAGTCCGTCAGCCGGCCAATCAGTAAGTCAGTCGGTCAGTCAGTCAGTCAGTCCGTCAGTCAGTCAGTCAATCAAACAGTCAGTCAGCCAGTCGGTCAGTCAGTCAGCGAGTCGATCAGAAATTGATAGGCAGACGTACCAAATACACACGCATTTGGAGCGGCCCTCATTTTCTTGTAGTCAGGATTGCCTTCCGCTGAAAAACACTCGCCAAAAAATTGCACGGCGAATAAGTTGTAGTCCTTGCCACTGTTAACAGCATCATAGCCACACTTCAAAACGGTTTCACCGAGATTGTGCCAGTCGAGATCTTTCCCCCGGCGGTTTGAATAAAAATCTGGCAAGATCCTCTCTTTTATTGGATTATCAATCCAGCAGCCCAGATATTCAAGCTCAGGAATATCTGAAGAGAGAAAGCCAATTAAATCTTAAAAGTAGCTGGTAGGTATGAAAATAAGTCGCATTAAAAGGCTAGTCATCGAAAAACTGTATACCGTGTAAAATGGGGGATGGCGGTGGAGAGGTGGGAAGGCTTTTGAATTATTTTCCAACATAGCTCAATGGCCAATTGTGTGTATGAGATCCACCTACATGGAATCATGGTAGTTGTGTTCATAATCTTGGACTGAATATTTATTTTGATGAACTTCAGCTACCATGATTTCTTGCAAGCACGTCTCATCATAGAGGGAACAGACCAATTTTGCTATATTAAAGTTCTGACTTGGCTCCGAGGTTTAGGGAAATAAAACCAAAGAAATCACATCGAGGTTAAGAGACGAATAAATGATTTCTTTTGTTTTATTCCCCTAAGCCTCGGCGCTAAGTTACAATTTAAATATATAACCATTGCGCGAGGACACGATTTGAAAAAGTAGCACAAGGTAACACGGAAATGGTCCATTTGGCCTATTGGCCATTAGGCATCAAAACTATTGAGTGAGATGCTCACTCCCAGGTTCCCAGCAAGGTATGACGTCCTGTGCATTTCTTTTACTTATCAGTTTAAGGCTTTAATGGCTGATCCAGGGAAGCGGACTTCAAGCACATGGTCTAATGTGCACGATCACGTTGTGGGTAGAGGCATGGTACGAAAACCAGGGTTTAATTAAAGTAATGCTAGATGACCAATAGCCCCGAGAATAGACCCTAAGGTATTGAGTGTTTTCTATTGGTAAAAAAATGAGGCTTTATTTTTTAGCGTCACAGAAAAAGGTGAAATACTGCCTCCCTAGGTGAAAGGAGAATACATGTTCCTTTTAATAGAATAGATATCCCTTGCCCCTTCAAGGTAATCCAAGAAATATCCTTGTTCCCTTGAAATAAATGATCACGTTGCCTTGTTCTCCGATTAAAGCCTCTGTGAGGCCCTTATGCTTCAAAAATCAAGCTTCAATATTAAGTATTAGTGCAGTAAATTAAAAGCACTCGGTTCAACTTTGCCATTGGTCAGTATTCATGTGAATCGCTGTTAGCTGTTTTTGGTTAGCCTCCCGAAGATGGTTAGACGTTCAAGTCTTTTCGGATAAGACCCCGTCTCCTGCATCTTCGTTGTTACATGGTTAAATATTGAAAAGAAATTGGCTGTGCCTAAGCCCCGTACAGATTTTTTGAAACGCAGTTTCTGCTACAGTGGGGCACGGCAAACATGTAAATCAGTTTTTTTTTTAAATGTCAATCTTGTAACTGATGTTTTACCATGTCTAAGTAAAGTGTATGTCTACGTCTGTGTCTTATCAGGGTTCGCTAAAGAACCGACACACTTATCGCAAAGAGTAGGGTAAGGAGTTCCCCGGCGGTATTGTGGTCTGTCCTTGTCTTACTGGTTGGTCCTTCCTCACATAGGGCTAAAATCATTACGTCTTTTTCCCTTGGACAGAATTGTTCAAGAAAAATTGCTATGTGCATCTCTATCAGTCTGTGTCTCCGTTTATGTCTGTGTTTAGGATTAGGATTTGGAGTATGTAAAGGGAGTAGTCCAGTAACTTTCGTTCATTAGAACTGGACGTGCTCTTTAATTAAAAAACTGGGAATCGACCGCTGTTCCATCAGTTACACAGACTGTATTCTTTGGAACTGCTGGAACTATCTGGAGAAACCTCACCTGCCTTGATACACCTGACCCCGGCGTCGTCTTTGTGGGCGCAGCTACCAGTTACACCCCAGCCGTTATGTTTACATTCAAGGATGGAGTGCTCTGAACCATCGCAGGTCACATTGGACAGATGAATCTAAAACAAAACATATTTATGGTTACTTTTTATCGCATTCATATTTTACGTATAAAGGTGATACAACGTGCGCGGAAAAGTAGTCGTGCATATTTTTGCGCCAAATGGAGGTAACGATTATCAGACCATGAACTACGAGTAGTCTTTCTTTCGCCTAGTCCGTCGTGCGTACCGCGAAAGAAAATCGCGAGAAAAAAATGGCCGCGCGGAATCTTGAGCGCTTCTCCTCTCAGGACTTCACGCGGCCATTTTTTTGTTTACGGTCTTGCTCGACGGACTAACCGAAAGAGGGACTACTCGTAGTCTAATCACACCAATATTACAAATCAAACGAAATTTATTGATTTTACTCAGCTCAGCCGACCATATAGTACACAGATTACAATATTCATAAACCCACACATAAATATAAATAACAAATATAGTAATGTGTTAAGATTTTAGTGAATGAGTTAGGATCATTCAAATAGCAAAGCTAATCTAGTGGACCATCCAAACAGAGTACTATTACACATAGAGTAAAAACAAGTTCTTTGAGCCGATAAAAAATTATTTCTTCATGCGCTATGCTAACAAGCATAGAGGTCTTAAATGGTTTTACGAAAGATTGAAAGAGAAGACACGATGTTTTGGGTAGCGTTTCTCCGCTCTTTAATAATTTTCGCTTTACTCTCAGCGTATTCTTTGTGAATCACGACTCCACAGTTCTAGATTTGTTTACTAAAATAGGCCCTTTGCAGGATCCGGTCACATGGTACTGAATTAATTACGCTGGGACGCAAGTTACACAGTGGGACTTCCAAAACAAAGGAAAGTCGGGCTGGACTGGTACGAGTTCCTTTGTTTTGGAAGTCCCACTGTGTAACTTGCGTCCCAGCGTAATTAATTCCGTACCATGTGACCATCCTGCAAAGGGCCTATTGAGTTCATTCAAGTGTAGCTTGATTGTTGTGCCGAAAGTTTTCCGAACAAGGGCGACGATTTTGGCTTGGCTTCGGACGAAGTCCCTGGGGGCTACCAAGAGCAAAAGGCTATTCATTTTTGCTCAAAGTGAGATGTTGAGCCGGAACAATAGGCCATTTCTTGATACGCAACAGAAAGATGACCCCTAGCCCCAAAACAATAACGGCTGCTAACAAGCAAAAGAATTACGAGCTTACGAGAGCTGCGAACAATTTTTTCCCCTGGGAGTTCGAAATGGCGGGCTTCAATTGTACCATAACACAAATCCACAGTTATCGTCGCTTACCGGACCAGTGCCCTCTCCAAAGTGTGCCTTTTTGACCTCGAAAATGGCACTGCTGTAGCCAAGCTCCTTGCACACCACTTCAGCAGCCTCTTGGCCCCAATTTTCATCACAAATTGTTCCCCACTCACCGTTGTGGTACACTTCCACTCGACCGCCTCCAATGTCGTCTGCTGGAGTTATCAGACGAACTCGATTTTCTGAAATATAACCACGCGTTGAAGATATTTAGAAGTGTGAGTTAAAGTGATTGAACTTAAGAAATCTAGAATCAATATGTTTGGTGCGAGATTGGACTTTTGCATATCTCGATCTCTCGGCTCAGCCAGTCATATTCTTTTAAAATCTTGAAGTGAGGCCCTATTAAAGTATTACTATTTGACTTACCTATTTCGACTGTTCCGTGGCTGCTCACTGCACATAAAGAAAAAATGTTTTCTTTAGCAAATATATCTTATTGGATGCTTTGGTGTGTAGTATCGCTGTATATTTTTACCAGCTGTGCCATAAATACAAACAACGAGTAAAAATATAAAGCGACACTACGCACCAAAACATCTAATAAGAGATTTATTATCCAACTGCTGTAGTCAATAAATTTATCACTGAAAGAGGGAGAGTGTAACAGTTTTGCGTGCACGCACCGACCTGTTCGACAAACAGGTTTTCTACTGTACAAATAACTGTACAATATCGCTGTTTATTTGTACTGTTATTTGGACGGTATTCGTTGCAGTTGGATATTAAAAAGAGATATGTTACCGCCGCAGAACTGCAAAATCTATTTCTACTTTTAAATTTTACCTGAAAAATAAATTGATTACTGACTTTTCAAATAGCACGTCATGATGGTATGTCACTACATTTGAGTGTTTGTCGTATGATGAATTGTATGTCATAAGATTATTGCTTAATGCTTATCGCATTCTTTCCATTTTAGTTTAGCTGTGTTGTATTTCCACTGAAAAGCCCCATCAGGGGAGTGTCAATAAACTATTGTTTGTTTGTTTGAAACTGTAGTTTTCTATCTTTAATTGGATTTGACATTACCATTAACTTTGTAACCCGGACTTACGCAGATGGGTCTTTTTTGGTCAGGACTTGCGGAATAAATTATGGTCAAAAAGCTACAAAAGTTGTTGACTTGAAGTATCGGCAACAAGATGGTTTGTATGCAGTCTTTAACTTGTACACTTATAGGGCATCAGATGTCTTTTCTAGCTAGCAGAGATTAAGCCTAGTTTATCTCACATTTGAGCTTATATTGTATTTTCTCCAGCATTTTTGCCTGATAATATCTGTTATTATCTCGCTAGTTCCCTGAGTAGGTAAGATGAATCAAATCCTGCGCTGTGATTGGCTACCCGAGCGGGCAAGATGGAGCTATCTTGCCCGCTCGGGACTACCCACCGTGTCCCGCAAAAANGACCTCGACTCCGTCTCGGTCCATAAACACGCAAAAAAGAACTTGGCCAATATCCAGCCATCTTGACCACACACTTGGTCAATAACCCATACGTATTATTTAAAACTGGATCATCGTGTGGGATAATGCAATTTGAGAGTTTTCATTGGCTTAGCTAGCATGGGTTATGATTCATTATACAGTGCTCTGACTACAAATATGGTGAGCATTTACGTAATATTTTGGGGCGTTTTAAATAAAACGGTTATTCCACTCGCGCTTGTTGGATATGACATGATTATAGCCAAATCGACGCTACGCGCCTCGTTGGCTATCTACCATCTCATATCCAACACGAGCTCGTGGAATAATTGTTAAATGCACCACTGAAAATTGAGTCAAACTCTCGCGGATACTCCCTAAAAGTTTAATTTTGTTCGAGTGGTGCGGTCTGCTTAATTCTCGTAACCATTATTCTATTTCAGATGAAAACTATGCAAGTTTCCAAACTCTTCTTCGGACCTGACCCAGAAATTGACATCCTGTTGTTAGCACGTTTCTGATCTAAAACTTGTGGTAATTATCTCTCCGTCACCAAGTCTCTTAAGGGATTTAACAGTCAAATAAATCTTGGGAAATTTGTAATTTTAGGGGGGAAAAGCGTCAAAATAACATCAGAATTTTGACTGATCTATCGGACTGATCTATGGGAAAAGTATTCACAACTAGAATACTAGTAATAGTCATCACTAAAGCTGCCCCCGCTTTTTTTTATTTCTACTGATTGGAAACAATTGTACATTATTGTATGAACTAAAACTTGTATATCTATTTTTTGTAAACTTTATCACTCATAATGTTCCTATAACTTAGGCATCTTATCATGGTTATTATCCAAACATTCAACCAAGTAAACTAAACAAACATTCCATTCCAGACAGCCGTGAGTTTTCGTTTGAAAGGACATAAAAAGTACTTTCTGAAAAAAAAAAAAACTGGTTTCCTCCATGGGAACTAATATTTCTTTTACAAAAATTTCACTCGGTAGAACTTAAGAAAAAAAGGTTAAAAAGTTATAGAGAGAAACAAAATATTATGTCAAACCACTCTGCTGTTTGAATTTGTATAGGTAATAGTACGGTTTCGAGTTTAATTTGGAATGAATTTGTACGAGTGAGTTTTTTCTAAAAGCTGGAATTGCACGAGCCGCTTAATTACTTATTAATAATATAAACATGAAAGAAATTCGCGTGGAGGAAATGCCGGAAGATTGAAGTCATTTTTTCCCATTCGAGAAAACTTTTTTCAAAGTTTCTGCACTCAATTGTCGTCATCATTTTACGTGATATCATTGGCTTAGAAAATTTCCTATTTTCTTTCATCCAATCATAATCTAGAATTACGATGTGTAATTTGCACTGGTGTTACACTTTCTGCACTGATGTTACACTTGAACTGCACTGCTCTCAGCCAATCGGAATCCAGTAATTTTTTCATGTATATTATTAGATGATGAAACAAACCATTTTTCTTGTTATAAGAGCAAACGTATCTCGAAAGCAGAACAGCAGTTGAGAAAATCATCTGGAACTTGCTGTCACGATTTTTTTCTGAGACAGGTAGTAGGAGGAAGCACCCGGCAAAGAAAAGGCCTTTCTCTGCAATTCCCCCATTCCCCTACCCTCTTGTACATGTTAAGAAGGGCCTGATACTCAGGTTATTAACAGAAGTTGCTTCGAATATCGAGATTTACCGGTACTTCAGAATTACTTACGATACCTCTTGAGTTGCTTTTATCCCAACATCCATCCTCAGGATCTTTGAAATTGTTTTCAATTTGTTCTATATCAGAATCTGCGCCATTTCGAAGAGAATTTACTTGATCGGGTGTGTTTATTTGACCCCAACAAACTTTCGGCAATCCTTTGCGTACTTTTCGGCAATCCTTTGCGAGCCGTGTTCTCAAAAACCGAGATTTTTTCTGCTAAGGTGAAATTTTCCTCCCTACACGCGGGGACTTCTAGGTGCCTACTCGGGTTTTGGCCGTCTGGGCCAAAACCCTGCGGGGGCAATAAAGTGAAACTTGATCCATTTGCAAAATTACTTTGCGGGAACTACGATTTGGCAGTAACAGTTTAATGGGATGACCTCGTTATATTGTAATCCCAATTGATCTTGGAAAGTTTCAAGTTTCAAGTTTCAAGTTTCAAGTTTCAGGTTTCAAGTTTCAAGTTTCAAGTTTCAAGTTTCAAGTTTCAAGTTTCAAGTTACAAATTTCAAGTTTTATTACAAATTGCAAATTTTTTCATTGGAAAATTTGTAATTTTAGGGAGAAAAAAGCGTCAAAATAACGTTAGAATTTTGACTGATCTATCGGACTATCTATGAGAAAAGTATTCACAACTAGAATATAAAGTGAAACTTGATCCATTTGCAAAATTACTTTGCGGGAACTACGATTCGTCAGTAACAGTTTAACGAAGTAAGTAAGCGATTACTTTTTTGATTAAATCAGCCATGAAAAATACTCAGCTAACCTGGCCTTCGTAATTGCAATACACACGAAAAGCGATATTTTAAATTGATTTCACTAATTACTAGCGGGGGCGATTTAACGAAAAGACGAGTGTTCAGTCTTAAGAGTCCGAATATCAGTTCACTTTCTTTGGTTACAAAAGAGAATGTCTTTGCCCAAACGGCAGGATTGTTTCTAAAAGTAGAAATTTAAGAATATTAGAAAACCTTGTGCCTAAGATGATTAATAACCCGAAGGAAATGGGAGGGGGGCACTCCCTTTACTTGGGTTATATAGGTGTGTGCAGTCCTAAAGGGTATGGTTTTGGGCGGTTCTGTAAAAGGATATAGATTTTGACTACGTTGGCACAAGGAACTATTTTTTTCGCAATAACATTCGCTCAGGTCTAGGATAGGGTATGGAAAATCAAAGATTCTGGTTTAAAATGATACAGGTTTCAAGGTTCGGGCCACACCCNGGGGAAATTAATAAATTTGGTAATTGACGAAACACGGTGTGGGAAGTGGATCTGAAATAAACGAAAAACCTTTTATGGATTTTTCTCACAAATGGCTTCCCAATTTCTAGAATACGGACGATAAATAGTGTAGAATAGCTGATATGGGGTTTATAACACAATGTCGTTTATTTAGCTGCATACTGCTGACATCACGGTTATTTTCCACCCTTTGTTAATCCAACTTTAAACAATAATATGGAATAACCCAGCATCAGGTGCTTCTTAGATAAACTGTCACCACAATTACGATTTTAGCTCAATTATTATTTTTTTCTTTCATCTATAGGAAATTTACTTGGCATTGCATGTCAGCGAAATTTGTTCAGATGGCACAAAAAGCTTCAAAATCCACGGAAACTGCGTTGAAATGGACAGTTCTGTCTTGGCAGAAATCCTTTTATGCTATTTATATTACGCGTACAAAAATTAACAGCATCTTGTTTTTCGCCTGACACATTTGCTTTAATTTAAAGTTAGAAACTCACACCGAGTTACCAATGCACTGGACATGAGAAGTGTGTTAAATTCAGCGACGGTTTCTTCCGGCAAAAAAAAAAAAACTATTTCAGCTTGAAATACCTTTTTGGAATTGTGGTTCCTTCAGTAATGGAGCAAAGGAGGTCTTAACCCCTACTCGACACGCCGAATTTGATTTCTCGTTTCAATTTTGCACTGATTGGTGGCGGTTTCGTTGACAATGCACCTAGTTTAGTTTTAAGTGGATGAGAAATCGAAAAAAAAAAGCGTATACTGAATTACTGGTGTCAAGTGCAACTAAAAAAGATCATTGTGATTAACCTTTAAGCTATAAAAATGACTCCATTGTACCTGTAAAGAGGACAACTGCAAGCAAAACCCGTAGACTCCTATAAACTTCCATGACCGTGGATTGACTTGTTCGCAAGCAGGAGAAGTGTTATCTTGTGAGCGCAACTCCTACTTGTGTTCAGTGTAAAGGGCAGCTGAAACTAGTCCGTTTAAATTGTGTTTGCTCTTTTCCTGACAAAGTGACAGTCAAACGAATAAATGAGGCAAATTTCCGGTCAAGTTTTCGTTTAACAGGGGTTGATAACAAACCTTGCGTCCTCTGTTTGCCATGTTAAAGAGCTTAAATTGGGTCATATCCCAGCAACGTGTTATGTCCTCAAACAATCTCAAGCGACATACGTAATGCAATTATTTCTCAAGACAAATCGTAATGCTTTCATATTACTCTTGTTTCGATGAGTTTACCCTGTGTTGTTGGCGATAAGTCGGAGCGATAAATCGGATCAATAAACCTCACTGATAGAAATTAACTGCCCCTCAATTCGATTCCTCGAAGTGACGGTCTACACCTATTTCCTCCCTGCAACAGCAATACGTTGTCAAGGAGATAGGTGATGAGAAAATGAGAAATCATCCTGTGGGTTGCATGTTTTCACGTCCCTCGAAATTCCCAGAACAGCTATTAAAGGAAATGCGTGGTATATTAGTAGAGAGATTTAAAAATTTTTGACCTTGAAACTTGAGCAAATCGCGGGGCGTGGTTTTCAGGAAACGCCGAAGAAAATGCTGAGGGGAATTCCAAGAAAAAGAAAAAATAATAATAAATTGTTAGGGAAAATGTCAAAAGAGCATTATGAAAACAGATTTGTAGACCAGAGAAAGGATAGGCGTGCTTTATCCTTTAATATCATCTTATTTGCTCAAAAAGAGGTAATTTTTGTAAAAGAGAAACCTCCTCAAACAATGTAAATATTTCAAAATTGATTAAACCGGAAAATGCACAATAACAAATGACAGGTTATTTTGACTTCCGAGAGGTACAAAACTAACTCTGCGGCGATAATCTCGACATTAATCTGTCTTTTATGTTTCTTTGTCATCGTTATTGGCCGCCAGCGCTTTGTTTATTCATTACGCGAAATGAATCTCCAATTTGCGTTGTTTGTACTGCGTTCTAAATGAAACAATCTGTTGTTAATTGAAGTGAAGAAGCTGGATCCGCCACTAAACACGTCTGTCTTCCGTGTACCTTTTTTCTCTTTGACTCAAGCCAGACAGCGGATAGAGACTGACAAAAATTAAAATAAAACTTGTCTGAAGTGTCTGGACGATCTTGAAATAACCGCTTTTCATTTGAAGTACCTCGCCATTAAAAAGAAATACAAATTATATATTGGCACGTTTTTGCTTCAAGGCGGCTTACGTTGCATGACTCGCTACGTGTGCTCTGCGTTTTCTTTACGAGATACTCTCTTAGTTGTCCGACTTTATGCATTAAGATCGACGTTTCCAAAGCTTTTAGCGCATTCTTTTTAATCTTGACAGTTACATTTAAAAGGTTTCTTTAAGTCGTCACGTTCCTATGAGATCACGCGAATTTACGCCAATGTCTAGACTGAAAGGACTTGTGGGAAATATCGTGCTCGTAGTTAACTTGCCTGGCATGGAATNGCAAACACTAACATGCATTTTAAATAAAATTGTTGAACGTGGATAACACCTCAAAGAAAAATGCAAATAATAGTGTGAATAAACATAAACAAAGAATTCTTTGAAAAGAACTGCAGGTAAACCACAGAATTTGTAAAACAGCTTTTTAGAGACTAATAATATTTACTCAATAATTTTATTCATAGACAAGTAGTCAACTATAAAAACCACTCCTAAAATAAATCAGTTCTTAAAATGTTCTGATAAATAGACTTCAATTTGGCAGTTACTCATTTATCAATTTGCCAAATTATATTCACTTTCTTAGCAATTAATTTATCAAGACACTGGTCACAACAGCAGAGTTTTTGTTCAGCAAGTCAATAAAAATTCAATTGACCACAAAATGAGGTCTCTTGTTGTTTGTTGTTTTGAAATGGTTAATAAACAGAAAGGAAGTATGTCTAAAATTTTCTTCATAATTGGACTGTGGAAATATTTTTAAATAATTATACACCCACATGTATGTAGAACAAGAATGAAGTCATCTACATGCAGAAGTGTTCTCACACATGAAAAATTACTGTATTTCCTCAGTTGGTCCCCTCCAAGTGTCCAACCTGCTCATTTGTTTTTACTTGTTGATCTGTACCCCTATCAGGGATAAAAGCAGAATTACACCCTCCAACCACGTGGTTAGGGCACTTAGTTCCCGGTGTTGTAGTCTGGCCTTGTCTTATGGGTTGGTGCTTTACATAGGGTTAACGTCATTGCACCTTTCCCCGTTGGACAGAATTGTTCAAGAAAAATTACTATGACCCCCATCCCCCAAAAACGATATTTAGTCTATTTGTGTCAAAGATTAATTGACCCATGGGAATTTTTTTCTGACAACCTGGGCTGCGTTGTTCGAAAGCCTATTAACGCTAATCCAGGATTAAAAGTTAACCAAAGTATTAATTTGTCTTGTATAAAAATGTTTTTCACTACTTATGTTTTTTGTAGTTTGAGATTATTCAAACTCAAAACTGAAGGACAAACATTGTAAACAGAAAAACTCACCGAAAAGTTGCAAAACTGAAATCAAAATTCTCGCTAATCCTGGGTTAGCTTAATCGGGCCTTGAACAACCCAGCCCTGCCTTTTAAGTTTATTTGCAACCCTCCATCTATAGAAATTGTAGTTTTGTAAAATTTTTCTGAAGGGAAGGAAGCATAAATACCCCCAGATGTGCTATGTTACCTCTGAACTGGCAAGATTGCCATGTTGTAGTAAGATTCTCTCCTTCTCCCCAGACCATGGCTATACCAATGTATTTTGATTCTGATGATCTAAATGGCAGGGTGTTGTCTAGAATGTGAAAACCAATCAGGGTTACAGTATGCATATTTTTCACATTCACAGAACAAACTCTTTCACACATCCTCAGGCCCATCTATAAGGACACCAACCCAAACCCTAGTCCAGTACAATTTTTTAACAATGACAGAGATTGCAGTCTTGTTTGTTGCAGTCTTTGCAAACCTGAGTAGAAGTCATCTTGGTCAAGTGAAACATTGGTAGTCAGTTTATCAGGAAATGTCATCAAAATGATCAATTTGCTGTAATGTTGTTGACTGTGTCAAGCCATTATGTAAAGGTAGTAATCAGTGACTGATCAGTTATGGCCTGATTCAATTGGATTATTTTTTGTCAAGCTTGTGTTGAGGCTGCTTAAAGAGTCCACATCACAGTGATCATGTGAGTTCTGTTGAGGTCAAAAAATACCAGAGTGACTACTGTAAGGTGTTGGTACAAGTTAACAAGTGTCTGTTCTAAGTAAGTGTGGTGGTCAGTTGTTGAAAGAGTGTTGTACTATGGGTTGTAATTTGAGTGGAGTTAGTTCTCAGTAGTTTGGTCTAGTTGTTTTTGTTCGAGGTATACAAAAGGGAGCCTTCTCATTTTCTCCATTTTTTTATTCCCCAAGTTTTCCCTGACTATTTTTGGCTGAAACCCCTGAAGGAACCAGGTTAAGTTTTGATTTGATCACTGCATAAGAACACAAGTGTTTACTTGGTCCTGGATTGCAATAAAATCATCAATCTAGAATAAGATTGCAGATAATATCCTCCTCTTGTCTTGTCCTGAGGTATTTTGACTTCAGCTGTTCCAAAGAAGAAAAAGAAAAATTTAGTGACTGTTAAGTAAAAGTATTTATGGTGTAGTGGCATAACACTAAGTAAAATGGTCCCCACATTAAGGAGCCTTCCTTAAGTCCTTGAGTTATGTTCCTGAACACGGCACTTCACTCAAACAGCAGCCTGCATAGCTAAGGGATCATATTTTTCTCGTTGGTTTAACAAATTCTTATCAACAAGTTTTCTTCCATGAAAACATTTTTATTTCATTTAAGGAGGGTACCTACTTTTGTTCGTGCGCCCACATTCTGCGCATCACGCAAGGAATAGTTTAAGTGCCACGCACGCACTGGAGTTGACATTGACGCAATCAACTACGCTACCAAGTACACGACTGGGGAGGAGACAGGAAAAAATGTAACTGGCGCTGTAAAAGTTTTCAAAAAAGATCAATAACTTTAAAAAAAAGCGTTGCTACCCCTGCATTTTATGTTATGAAATGGTAGAGGCAAGGCTATTCAATAGATGACTAGTTTCTGGTGGTGAGCAAAAGGTATTTAGACTGTATTTTAGCTGAACTTAAGGAGGACTGTCAGAGAGGCTAAAAGCACTATTGCAACGATTTTATTATTAAAAACATACCACAAATGGTTTTTATGGTACCATTTACCATGCAGTTTTAAGATCTTTATAAATGTGTTTGCTTTTCTGTATGTAAAGGAGAATTCTAAGGAAATCTGGCAAAAAATATCCTTTCCTTCTTTCTTCAAAAAAATGCTGATGTCAGCATTTTTGTTGAGATTCAAGGGTAATAATTATCTCGAAAAAATGCGTGGCTACCCCAATTTTTCTTTGTGGATTCCAATAGCCCTCACAAAGATTTACTTTTCCCTTGTTGTCCTAAACTGGCACAAAAACCTTTGTTTGTCCCTAGTATCTTTCAAATATCTTTTTTCAGGGCTATGAATATGGATAATTGTTGACAAAACAAACCATGCATCCACTGGATAGTGATTTATCCAGTAGATAGCATTATCCATCTTTTGAGCAACCCAGGGGCCTGTTTCTTGAAAGACCCGGTAAATTATCAGGCCCGGTAAGTCACACGGTAAGTCCCTGTAAACTTTTCAGGTGTTCCTTGAAGTTCCCATTATTTTCGATCCTGTTAATTTTTCCGGTAACTTGCCCACTAATTTATGGGAGGTCGTGACCTCCCGTAAAGTTACCGGGGAGTTGCAAAACCAAACAAAATGGTGGCTGGGGACGGACTGTTTTGTTCCAAAGACGTCCCTTTCTAGCCGATATGGCTGACTGGGAAGTCATTGAACAATTTCAGCTCTCATAAGCAAGAATATAGTGGTTCATTGAGGAGCTAAAGGAGGAATTGGAGAGAAACATGGCGAGAAGCTGCCCGCTGGCTCTGGAAACCCAGGTAAATATAATTGTTGTTGTTGTTTTATTTTTTACAGTTTGAAGACGTTTGCATGGAAGTGCTATATAACTGTGAAGTTCTATTTTATTGTTTTTCAAAACCAACAAACGGTGTAAAAAAAATGAATGAATAGATAAACACTGTCATGTAAACGCCAATCACTCATCGCGCATTTT